GATTAGAGAAGCCTCTAGGCTCATCCGCTATGATTGTTGGTCGTCGATTTAAAAAAAAGTAACGAAAAAGTAACGAAAAGTTACTTTCTCAAGTAACGGCAACTGTAACGAGTTACTTTTAAAAATCGGTAACTAGTAACGGTAACTTGTTACTTTTTCTACTCGGTAACGAGTAACTGTAACTTGTTACTTTTAAAAAGTAACTTTCCATTCCCTGTATTCTGTATTGTATATATATATTCGCAGAAGGGACATTGCAATAATGCGTGGTTTTAGCAAGTGCGTCACGTACTTCATTCCGAAATTGCATTGGCTCAGTCTCACAGATTGCATCGACGAATTCGCACGCGTAATGGAAAATCAAGTAATTTATTCATACACGACTATATCCTTACATATTCATACTAGATAATCTGAAAAAGATGTAGCCTTAATATTATATTATGTATTAAATGTAAAGGTTGTTATACTTATATTGAGAGAAAAAAAATGGTTGCAAGTACTATAATTTAACTATAATTTATAGTTTTTTTGGGGTTAACTATAAATTTATAATTGTTTTAACTATGCACATTATAGCTGCTTTAACATTGAAATATATGATCATTACGACTATGATAGGCATTAAGTTTTTCCTCACCACATCTCTTAATTATTATTACCATTTATAGTTATATTAAGAAAATGGTCATATTTCATTCATTATAATGACGATTGTATTTATTATTAAAAATAGCTATTTTTATTTACCATTCGTATCTCTACATTTTACTATAAATATTAATAATTCTGATTATTATAATTTATAGTATTCCCATATTTGAGAGAACTATACATATAAGGTTATTATTATTAATCTGTAATCTATATACTATAATACAACTATACAAGCCATTAATGACTTTAATAATCAGATAAAAAATGATCAAAGGGAACATATGTATTTCTACTAGAGGCAGAAAGTACGTGAAAATGTATTTGAAAAGAAGTTCTGAAATACAGATGCTCCAATTTGAATATATCTCTGATAAGGCTCAGATATAGGTTACATAAGAAGACATAAAATGTATTTCCATGCGTGTATCTAGATACATGTAGATACATGTAGATACTACTCAACACTAATTGAAGCCTGCATAACTCCTATGAGTTCGCGAGACGAAATCAACAAGAAATGGTCGCTTTATTCGTGACGAGAACAAGGGATAATTCAAGCAATAATTCGTTCCTATTGTGCCGGATTCAATCTCCGAGTGATCTGTAGTTTAAAAACAGTGAGCGAAAATGCGATGGCACGCATTCAATTACATTGATTTTTGTAAAGGTTGACATGCGACTGGAAGCTTCCAATCTCGTGAGATTTTCGGCGAATTTCTCGAAGAGAAATGACATCATGTTCCCGTATCCTTACACACATCTGACTCGTCGCAGGATACTCGTTGAGAGTTTCCACGAAGGTGCACCGATATCAGATTATCTCGTATACGACGATGCTATTTTACAACGGAGACTCGCCAGGATAGGAATCGCGATGGTCCTTCAAATGGTTAATATAACTCAAACAATTTCCAATCGGTATAATGAAATGTACCAAAATAGAGCGGTTTGTATCAAGCCTTTCAATTATTTATTGTCATCGTTATTAACTTCTGCCGAAGCGCATTAAAGAAAGCGAATTAAAATTTTCTTATTTTGAGAAGATTAATGTTAGATTTATTCCAACGAGATAATTGCAAAACTTTAAAAGATTGGCCCGTTTTTCATAGCGCTTTATTATTGTACAATTTTTGATCGAAAATAATGTGTGAATAATCGTTTGATTGTAGATATTTAAGGATAACTTTATCCATTGTGACTTGCACCCAGGCAATATTCTAGTCGAGAAAACGGTCGTCCCGAAGGCGATGAGTCTGTTCAACACTTTTTGGCGGGTCATTACTCCCGATTATGCGGAGCACGACTCACGCCTGATCATATTGGACTGCGGCCTTGTGGTATCTCTGAATGAACGCTGCCGACAAAATCTTCGAGATGTTTTTTACTCGGTGCTAATGAGAAACGTAAGCTCGGGAAATAACGTCCACTTTCTATTAACATGCGCTCTTTGCCTTTTTAATGAGAAACTTAAGCCAGAGAGACACGTTCATTCTCTTTTTCCTCTCCATTTTTCTTTCCTTACCGAAGTTTGCTTTTCTCTAGTATTTTAGTGAAGAAAATGAACGGAGACAAAACATCAATTTTTATCGAAGCACATCTTTTCAGATGTCTCTAGGGCAAAGAGATTGTCCTTCAATATAAAATACACGGTAAAATATTTACGATAAAAGCAATCGGCAATATAAACGTTAATTTTTTTTGTAAGGAATGAC